GCACCAAGCACATGAAGTTCATTAATGGCAAATATTTAAAAAAATATATTCCTTCCTTATGGAAAAGTGAACAAATAAAAGCATTAACAAATCGCGTTGAACGATCATAGTTTAAAAAGGGCCAGAGTGAAATATGTTCAAATAAATTCCTTTATTATCAAACGTTCATTAAAAAGTTGCAAAATACAAAATACTAAATGCTCTACAAACTACAATTAAGAGCAAACTAATCTCCCGGTCGATCGCCGAGTAAGAGGATGAACTGGCCTTGATTGCCATCCTGATCGCATTGCTGCAAAGGCAAACAGAGAGGCCGAGAAGCACTCTCAGCAAGCAGAAAGGAAGAAGAAGCACCCTCACATCGCCTTTCTAAATGCATCGTTGCAATAACGGGCAAGGAGGCTGAGAAAGCACTCTCAGCAAGCAAGGTGGCTTGCAGGCGTCCTCAAAAATTATCTTCCATCATCGAACTCCTCGTAAAGAATATGGAGACGATGGGAAGAACTTTGCTGGCCAAAGAATATTTCCTATATCTCCCATACCAAAGGCGACATCAAGAAAGATGGCAAAATGGGTGGATCAAATGATCCATTTCCATGGAAGACGAAGGTTTTGAATCGATTGTCAAAATGCTAAACAATGGCAACAAATTGGTTTTGAAGAAGAGAATGGAAGTGAAAATGACAAGTGTGAAATATAAGTGCATTTATAGAGGCGTGAAGGTGAAGAGACAGAATATGAACAGCTACATTCGTGCCTAGTAACTAGAATCAAATGGCCCGAAGTCTTGAGAAAAGAGACAGAAACACCAAGAGAAAATGTGTGTGAATCTTAGCATAAAGCAGTTAAATGCTTGGAGGGTTGACGATTAAAGACAACGTCAGTAAATACACAAGAAGACAAATTAATCGTTCATTAATGATAATGGTTGCTAATATATTCAGAATTACTAATGGACATCAATACGAGGATACAAAGGGAAAGTTAATACGAAGTTACAAAAAGAAAAGTTAAGGCATTAAATGTCTTAATTACAATTCGTCCCAGATTGAACGAATTCTTTCCCTAAGTCTCCCCCAATCCTCGCTCTGCTAAGAAGTAGTGACATTCAATTCAGCCACAAAATCATCATCAACCTCCAGCTTCTTGTACTGCTCGACCAAAGACTTGGTTCGCTCAATTCCTTGGGAGGCATTGCATTTTTTAGCAGTCATTCTCGCCTTGCAGTCGTCCATCCTTGCTTGAAGCTCCTTCATCTGTGCAGCCAAACTGGTCATCAAAGAGTCTTCAATCATGACTTCAGAAGAGATTTCTTTAAGTTCATCCTCAGCTTTGTTGATCTCCAGAAGCAAAGACTCTCTTTCAGATACAACGCGAAGATATTGAGTACTTTTGGCCTTCAGTTTGACATTTTTGGCCAGCAAGGAGAGAATCTCGGAATGGACAACTTTCAACGTCGCTTTAAAATCAGCAGAAAGATTGAGTGACGGAAGTGTCAGTGCTTGCGCCAATTTCGTACTCAAATGCTCAAGCTTATCCTTATGTTTGGCAGCACTAGCCTGACCGATGTCCATATCCATAAAGGACACATACTCAAATATCGACTGCTTGAGGAACTTCATATCTTCCTTTGAAGAAGCAGAAGGACGACTGGTTGAAGCAGGGCGAGACGTCTTAACTTGCCCTCAGGAAGTGAACAAGTCCTGGATGGAACGCACAATCCTATCAGCATCCTGCAAAGAAAGTCACCAATATTGAAGGTTTTCACTACAATGAACAAAGTGGAAGTAAAAGTGAAGCAAAGATTACCTCATCAGCAATCTTGGGAGGTGGCATATCCCCAGCCAAATCTACCACCTGTGGCTCCACCACTTGTGAGGACTTCCCCTTGTCTAAGCGAGAAAACTTTGCCACAACGGGCAAACTCATGGGAGCATCTGCAGAACTCAAAAAGCAACAAATAAAAAACCAATAGCACAAGCAAAGGTAAAACATCAAAAAATGTATTACCTTCTGGTTCAACGTTCGGGGGGTTGACACCCTGGGAAGAAGGTGGCTCATCCATTGGTTGTGATGAGGATTCCGGGACTGAAGGTTTCTCTTTAACCGTAGTCCCTTCATCAGTTGGTTTGGATGAAACAGCCTCAGCAGAGGGTGATAGAGCAGGAGTTGCCAACACCAAAGCCTTCAAAGGAGAGGCTGAGCTTTTCTGAGAAATTCGAATAAACCATCAGCACATAGAAAAGTTTCAAGTATAGAAAGGTATGCTTGTGAATAAACTAATTTAATTACCTTTCTCTTGACGATGAGAGAAGTGTCATCATCATCATCCTCCAAAATGGGAGATGTTGAGGCTGGCCGTTTGCGGCTTGTGACACTCTTAACTGCAGTGGGCTTGGTAGGAAGAGAAGTAGGTGGACGAACAGACTGTTTAGCACGAGCAAAAGAGGAAGGGCTCCTAATGGACACAGGGGTGACCAAAATAGGAGAAGTGGAAGAAATGTCCGACTGATCCAGTGAATGGAAAGCGCGATCGGCATCAGTTGTAAACAATCTGCGCTGCACTGATGGCCAGAGTTGTTCAAAAAGGGGATGGATGGCATGGCTAGGATTGAAGGGGGCTAATGAAAAGTCACTCGTCAAAAGAATATTGCGAGCATCTATAGCTTCTGCCTCTACCTTATTAATGGTGTGGAAGCGATTTATCAAATTTCTTGAATAGCAAGGGGGAACAGGCCAAGTTTGGCCAAAAACAAGTTGACGAGCAAAAAATTGGGGAGCATATGTTTCAACCCCAGCTTTGGCATTGGTTCCAGTCAAAATATCATGGAACAACTCCCTCCCAGTCAAAAACTGAACCCAAACGAGCAGAGAGGTGCTCGTACTGTCCAGGGTGGATGGGGGTTGCACATAATTTGGAGTTAAAAAATGAGGAAAAGGAAAGGAAAAAGGAATTGAATTCAAAGTATAAAAAATGAAAAGATGTCCATTCTGAACATATTTACAGGGTTCAGTGGGTCAATAGCTAGCCCATAACAACTAGCAGAATGACGGGAAAAGGATAGAACACCAAGTGATGAAAAATAGGCTCTCAACCACATTTGAGTGAACCAAAGAAGCCCACTGCTAGTGGGAGATGCACTATTCTTCAATTGGAATTGGAGAGAAGCTATGCCTCTATAGAGGGCAGTCAAAAAGAAAGAACATAAATTCAGAGGCTTACCACGCGCCAATTCGTGCGCTATGGGTAAATAGCTCATAGAAGGCTTCAGGCTTGACACACACAGAATATATTTACAAAGCCAAATCTGAAGAAAGGTCACGCGCTCAGCATGAGAAGGCTCAGCGCTCGAGTGATTATAACAGCTTTGCAGGCTTGAATAGGACTCTGTGAGTTTTTTGTCAAATTTTGGGGCGACACCAGAAATCAAAATACCAGGAAAAATGGTATCGCCCAAAGGTGGCAGATTTACTAATGCCCCAACATCCCTTAAAGTAATGGACATGGGACCAAGGGGGAAAACAAAAGTATTATACTCAAAAGACCAAAAACTTAAAGCAATAGGGAAAAGCGCTGGATCAAAAGTAGGGGGGTTGAAGAGAGATTTCTAGCAAATCAGAAATCTTAGTACTATCAAAAATTTCCTTGGTAGGACCATGGTCCACAAGGCGAGCATGCCATCTACGAAAAACAACATCAGACTTAGGCCAAGTGCGAATACCTCTTTCGCGAAGCGGCCTCAGCGGCAAAGAGTTTAGAAACGGAGGGTCTTGAGTACAAGGGAACAGCTGGCACACCGCCACTTGTTCAACGGCCTTGGCGTTGTTGAATGAAGGACCTAGTTAGAACTCGTTGAGTTCGGCATTGGCTGGTGCAAGGAAGTTCGGAGTTATATATGGCTGAGTGAGGATTTTCTGGAAGTCTTCGAAACTGAAAGAGTCACCAGATTGGGATTGTGAAGCAACCATTAGGAACGAAATAAAGTTTTATTGAAATTTGCTTGATAAACGTAGTAGAGAAGCAAGAAGATGAACAGTAATATTGCGAGAGAGAAGCGCAGAACAATGAGACGTGATTTAGTAGTGCGATAAAATGACGTGTATTTGGGGGTTATAAGGGTTTGCAACGTAGCAACTTTTCAGGCTATGGAAGAAAATAATGATTGAAATTCTTGGGAATTTCAAATGTTGTTCGGAAACACAAAGTGAATATGGCAAAAAATTAATAATTGGTATTAATTTTGCCATATTGTGGGGTAATTGTTGACACGTTAAAAGTGCAGCCCAACTCGAATAGCCCAAAGAATGAAGTCCAACTGGGCAATTTAGGATAAAAGCCCAAATAGGGTTATTAATGAATGTAGTGGAAGTCCACGAATGCGGTAATACCATCGCCCAAACTTGCAAGACGCCCAAGAACTGAGCGAATGAAGTACCTTGCAATCGTCCAAAGTTATGACCATGTTCTCGCCCAAACCTTCGAATCGCCCAGGATTTTAACAAGCATAAGATATTATGGTTATCCAAAAGTGCAGTTATCGAAGCAGTTATTGGGTAATCTCATCACGTTCCACGATTCAAGGAGTTTAGTTGAAGACGGTTGAACGACAAAGAGTAGTGGCAGCATTTAGAGACGGCAGTTCCACGATAAGCTGGCCACCATGAAGAAAGTGGGTATTTATAAAGCAATTAAGTAGTTTCTAAGCGGTTGATCACAAAGAGAGTATCAGGGGAATATAAAAGGAAGAAAAGACATAGAGTAGAGAAACCCCGAATCAAACACTCTCAAACAGAAAATATGTAATTTCAATTCCTTAATTTAGATTTAAACGTTTCTTTCAGTACTCGTGTGCTTGCGCTCCTTGAAGGCATTCTGTTTAAGTTCCAATTGTAAAGTCATCGTTAATAAAACACTCATTTTTTGAACTTTGTCTCAAAAGGTTTGTTCCTTACACAATCGTTTGATCCTTTGTAATTGTTAGCGGCAACCAGCGCAAAACAAAAACAAATCTTTCACCTCCAGGAGCTCCACTCTATAATTCACTCCTCGAACTGGACTGCCTCGGAAACACAAAATCAAGTATTTTTTCTTTTCATTTTTCAATCATAGTTCATTCAAATTTCTAAATTATGCCAATTTATATGATTGTTTGGTACTAATTTTACATTGCGTCTTCATTATTATGGATCCGGTTGACTTAATTGATTCGTCGTCCTCAAATGATGAAATCGACTGGGCAGCTTGATAATCAGAATTTTTGGTCAATTCAATTATTACTGGTATCAACCTCAGATCTTGATCACATACATCTCCATATCGAAAATTTTCTTTTGTTTCGGTTTTCTTTGAATCATTGTTCAGTTTTGGTTGTGATTCTCACGTTTGATTTGTATATATGTCTACAGTATCAAAATGGCGTCAGTAAATGGTTGTGAAACCTTTAAGAATTATGATTTTTATTTTTATTTTTTTCTGTGAAAGATTGTGCATGTCCCCTTAGGTTTTGAAAATTAAGCTTGTCTTGATATATTTTCCAACTGATTTTTTGTGAAAATTATTTAACCAACGAAAACTACGTGAAAATAGCGAAAAGGTTCTTGCACTGTATTTGAGTTGGTCTTCAAAAAATGTACAAGCCAACTTTGGGCATTCTCTTGATTTTTTAAGTGTTTGTGTTGTTTGTTCTTATAAGTTTGAAACTCAAGATGAATTATGATTCCTATACAATGTAAAGATAAGAGTTATCTATGGCTTCATTTGGATTGTGTTTGTTGTGTCTAGAGATACTTTTTCCATACTTCGGAGAATTAATATTACTGTTGTCTGCATGATTTACTTGAATTACAAAATAAATTTGTTGCTGTTGACAGAATACACGGTTAATTACTGAAACTACATTGCAATTTGCACAGTAAATTGCATCTGCATTCTCATTCCCTTCAATGCAGCCATAAAGTTAAATTTACCTCTATTTTATCTTTTTTCTTCCTACTCTTGACAAATTCCTTTTCATTTTCGCAGTTTATTATGGTTGCAAGATATTGAGTCTTCGGTTACAAGTGAAGGCTGCTAGTGTATACAGTATAGGAAACAAAACAGTATTGAGATGTTTTCACTGTTTTATGGACTGTGGAAACGGATCTTCACCAAGATCGAGTTTCATGTTCTTATTCTCGGAATTGACAAGGCTGGAAAAACAGTAACATGCTTAACTGCCCTACCTCTTCTGGAATTTGGGAATATTAAATCTCCGCTTCACATTCTGATGAAATCGAGTTGATACTGACAAATAGAAAATCTCATGCATTAAAATGTCCCTTTCGAACTCTCTTTTTTCTTTTTCTTTTTTTTTTGGTTCAATTCTGATGTATGAAATTTCATAAAGCTATCTTTTATGGATCTAAAATCTGCACCACCTGTTTACTCAGAGGAGAATCAAGCATAGAGAAGTGAAAGTGTCCCTGTCACTTTACCCAATGGTAGAAATGGAATTACCTGTGGAAGTGAGTTGCACTACATCGTCAAAGTGTTGGTGCATTCTTTATAAAATGAAATCCTTATGTAGTCACTAGTCAGTAAAGGAAACAATAGAATAATTAATTTTTATGGAACTGGAGCTTATTTTCCCATAAGTAATATGAACTACGTATTTTTAGTTTAAGTAACAGTTCCTTCGCCCATTTGCAGCTTTCATTCTTTAAGAGTGTGCTCAAAATATAAATTGGCAGCACTTAGTAAAATGTTTTGCATTAATTGGAAGCTACCTCCTAGACCAATGCCAAAACCTGCACGGTACAATACCTTCAACTGAAATATATGTAATATACTTCTTTCAACAATATTTGGTTCATTTTTCTTCATTCTGTATATCCATGGAGACACGTTGCTATGTCTACTGTCGAAGTTAATCAACTGTTTACAATAATATGGAATTAATGAACCACGTTCCAAGCTCATCACGGATTATGAATTTGCAGACATTACTGGAGAAATTGAAAACACGGTACACAAACTTGGAAGGCCTTCCCCCAGATCGAATTGTTCCAACTGTGGGACTCAATATTGGTCGTGTCGAAGTGTCAAATGCAAAACTTGTTTTTTGGGACCTGGGAGGTCAGGTTTGAAATGCGCTCTAGGCTTCTTGTCTAAGTTGATTTTATGAGACTGTAAAATTCCCTTGTAGTTTTGTTGAAGTCAGTTCCCAGCCTCATTAAATTTGAATCATCTGCCACTTTTCCCCATTATTGGTTTGCTTGTTGTATGTCTTAATTTGAACCACTAGATTGAATTTGCTCATCTGTTTCTCTAGTTTGATGCATCTCCTGAATTCAGCCACCATAGTGACTTTTACGGCAGTCATTCTTTTGCATGAGCTTCTTGATACATTGTGAGAATTATAACACTGATGCTAGGTCGTTATTCTTCCTCAGCCTGGTCTTCGTTCAATTTGGGAAAAATATTATGAAGAGGCACACGCTGTGGTTTATGTAATTGATGCTGCTTGTCCATCCCGATTTGAGGATTCAAAATCTGCACTTGGTAAACCAAAACTTGTGAAAAAAACTTTCTGGGACTGCAACTATCAATAGTTCATGTTACTGATGTTTACGTTCCTTTATATTGTTTTAACTTTGGAATTGTTTCCAGACAAGGTTCTTCGGCACGAAGATTTGCAAGGATCCCCACTACTGATATTAGCAAACAAGCAGGTAAAGTGATTGCTTTTGTGACACAAGCATAGTCGTGACCACAAAGTGTTCAACATGTTGATCAAGGAAGATACTCACATACATCCTCTTCTTATGTTTGCCCCTATAACTTAATTGATTACGATAGAACTTCTAAGCAATGATGCAATGCTGAGATAGGCTTTTGAATAGCTTTACTTTCTTTATATTACCTGTAATTTTCTCATTATAAATTGTGGTTATATTGCCTGACATTCAATCGTGATCGCTAATTAGCATTAAAGATCCACCTATACCTGTAGTGAGAAACCGAAAGTAGTATAAAATTATCAACATACACGTTTCAAATACTTTGTTTGTTCAATGGTCGATTTTCTTTATGTGCCTAACAAATTTATCAGCATAGTCTTGTTTAAGTAAAAAAGAGTAATTCAAAGAAATAGCAATTGTACTAGTGAAGGACTGTTGCTTTTATTAACTTCTGTACTTTTCAGGATCTTGAAGACGCTGTATCAGCTGATGAACTTGCTCAGTATCTGGACCTGAAAAAGTTGGATGAGAGTCTGTACACATTTCAAGGTGTTTCAGCAGTTGATGGGTAAGTAGATAAATAGTAATTTTATTTAATAGAGAATTTAATAACCCGTTTCTTGTGATATCTAGAAATTTAAAACCTTGAAATGATTCTGATTTTCCAAATCCGACATCTACACCCACACTTTTGGGGATTTCCCATTGTCCACTCAAAAGAGGTGTGTAACAAACCAGCAATTTAACTGCAGGCTGGGGATCAAAGAAAGCATAAACTGGCTGATAGATGCTATGGAGAGAAGTAAGCGAACTGAAACGTTGAGAGCTCGTGCAGGATCTGGTGGTTTTTAGAAGAGATTATAGCTATATATAATTGTACCCTTTTGTCACTTCGTAGGTGAATCAGTTTTCAATTGGATCCTATATTATGAAACTTGTTATTCTTTTTTACTTTGTTTTCAACTGCAATGAAGAAAAATTTTGAGGTTATATTTCGCCAATTTTGATGCCTACTGCTACAGATGAGGAAATTATTTTGCACTATGCCATTTTCATGTTTTGACTTGTTTGACTCTGAAATAAAAACACAATATGGTAATCTGAATCTCTGTTAAATTGAATAATATGGCAACTAATCAGACAGCATTTGAATTTTGGGACCTTATAAACCATAAAATCATGTCTATATAGGCGTCTTTACAAGAAAAGCCAAGTGGTCTTGCACTAATTCGAGGTTTTAAGGCAACAATTTGAGACGGAAAACGAAACACTTGAGTCATGTTTGCACCCAATACTGAAATGAGCAAAATTTTAGCTTCTTTTATAATCCTATCCACAATACAGTCCAGTTCAATAAATGAATCATGCCATTGACTCAACACTGTCGATAGCAAGTCTTGCTTAGATTCAATGTTCATAAGCCAATCAATCTGGCACTGTGGAGCTTGGTGGGGTGACTTCTTCTTTGATTGCTGGCTGAGGTTCTGCAAAGAAGGGTGAGCGCGCCACTAATGCAAGTTTATCTTCATAAAAGTTGGAAAGTAATTTGCGAAGAAAAAAGATGAAAACATCACTGATAAAGAGAACGCTGAACTACAGAGTCAATAAAAATAGTACTTAGATTCATTGGTCTCTGTGAGCTGCAAATGAAAAACAGATCACATTGACGAGTTCTATCTTCTCACCTCAATACCCTGATCTAGTTGGCTCACCTTATGTTTGGAGACATTGCACTCTCGCTCTCTCCTCCTCTCCCTCTCTACTCTCACAACCATCAAGATATATAGCGTCACATGAGGTAGCATTCAGGGATTGGATCCACCACCTATTAGTGAATAATCTACAAGCCTCAAACTTCAATTAGATGTCCCTGAAGTTAAAGTATCACTTTTCCCCGGCATTCATTTTTCAACCATACGTTCTCACAAAAAATAAAAAAATAAAAACTAAAAAAATAAAAATTAATTTCGTTCCACATAACATTTTCCAATTTTTTAATCACGTTCACCAAAAACATTTCTCAGATAATCACTTCTTAAAAATTCTTTATTCTTTATTAAACAAGCACTTAATCACCACATAGATTGCTAATAACATTAAATTGATAGCATTATTCCAAATTTGGAAACATCAAAATTTCTGATCCTTAACACACATGCTCGTGGATAGGTTTGTATTCCTCCACCACATCTACCGTTGCCTCCATTATCATGGACGAACTCTAAAACTGAGCTAACAGCTCGTCATGCACAGTAGTTAATGTACAAAAACTTGAGGTTATATATTTTTTTCCTGTCTTTTCTGGTGGTGGATTAGATGGAGAAGGAAAGGGTAAGGGGTGGAACCGGGGGAAAAAAATACCATAAGGAAAGATAGCCAGCTAGTCATAATTCTCAACTATTATTACAACAGCAGAGAGAGTAATCAAATCAGCAGCTGCATAAAGTCAGGAATACAGTTAAGGGACGGAAATATCTTGTCACTGTACAACATTCGTACAGACTATCACCATACATTTCGTGTGTAATTCCATTCCATGCAGTGGTGACGTGAAAACTGGTATCCACAAATATTTTAAGCTACCATTTGCTCCTGTAGCTTGTTGCATTATGCAAGGCTGTGGCTGTCCTGCACCATCAAAATCGATAAATAAAAGATTCCACTGCCAAAAATCATCTGAATTGCATGTTTGGCAGGGAAGATTGCGTGTTATTAAGGAAGAAAATTATACTGTTCAATCATGTTCAATACTGCGTATCAAACTGCAACATTAGACTTATGCATGACTTTCCCGTGCTGTGAAATGGCTAAACATAATATTCATCCGGCATAAGTAATCTAACCTGAAATTTGGCAGCATTAGGCCGTTATCTCTACTGATTTCTGATGAGCTGAGTGGCGGCTGGTGTGATGAAATCTGAACACAAGAATTATCAATCATGGGAACTTCGCTGGTGAGAGTTTTAACCGCAAACTCAAAACATGGATCGACCCATACATCCCTGGGAGGCAAGTCTGAAGTGGAAACTGAAATTACACTAGACGACGGCAGAGAAGACACTGAACTGCCAGTATACTTGTTCACATCTTCTATAGGTATTGCACCGGTGAGAGTTTTTATTGCAAATTCAATGCATGGATCCTTCAATAAATCATTGAATGAGGTGTCAATAGGCATTTCTTGTTTCTCACCTTCTTTACAGTCATCCACAGCATGCATTTTTGGAGGAGAAGGATCTCTAAGAGGCAAAACAGCAGAACCTTTCTGATTATTGTCATCTGAATTTTCTGTTTTCAACTTCTCATTTCCATTTGAAGAACTGTGATTACAAAATTTATTGGTGCCATTAACTTCTGGCTTGACTGAAAGTGAAGCTGCTGGTTGAGCTTCTTTTCTCGTTTTTACTTCCACCGATCGATCGACTTCCAACGTAGCAAGTCGTTTTGAAGTTCTTCGAGGCAAGTCGCCCAGCGTTTTGCTATTCAATCTTTTCCTCTTTTTTGGGATTGTTCCATTTTCATGGTGTTCGATCCCGTTTACCTGCAGTTGCATATCGAAGAGGTCCTCAGTTTCAGTTTCATTTTGTTCTACTCTTTGCTCCAAGTTATTGGTTTCAGGGATATTGTCATTGTTCATTTCAGCACTTTCCAAACCTGCAGCAAGTTTAAATTTTGGATCACAAGGAAAATCATGTTTCATTTATGCAGAACCAAACTACTAATTACTGCTAAATCAGATCCATTTTCTACACGAAAATGCATCTTGCTTAAATTATAGTTTTCCATGCACGAAGAAACTGGGGCGCATATGTGCGTATCGTTCCCTTGAAAATAGAGTATGGCTTGTACTTCATGAGAAACAGGAAATTGACAATTCAAAGTCATCACAAAACAAGAAAGAAAAGAAAGGAAAAAAATGCCATTTGATCAGTTGAAGAAACTACAGCAGTATTCAGTGACATATTCAGTGACAACCACACTTCAAGGCGCAATTCTGTTAATATGGACAGAAGAGAAGTATGTTCATTAAAGAAATGTAAAGTTTGTATCCAAGGACATGATCAACCTGACATAAAGCTTGGATGGCCACTAGCATTTTTATCTACTTCACTGTCAGCTGATTTTATACTTTGCCTCACAGTGTCCTTGTGTTGTTCCACTTTGTCTACTAATGATAGCTTGTCCGGAAAAGCTCCATCTACAGAATCATCTTTCACATTTTGTTCATGATCACTGGCCTCCGGCAGATAAACATTCTTTGCCGCAGCACCTTTTGGGCCTGCAGTGAGTTCAAACTCAACTCAAAATGAACATTATTCTTCAAATTGGCAGAAAATAAATTGCAAACATCACAAGCTTTTATTATCGGATTTCCAGTTTCAATGTAAAACATAGGAAAAGATGTGTCTCTTGCTTAAATTGTAACTATCAATAACATGTACTATTTTGCAGACATAGATCTCCAATTTCCTCAAATGTTTGAGTACGACTTCCCTCAATGAATAAAAATCCACCCTTCATATGAAGTCAACCAAAGGAGGAGACAGAAAACAGAAAATAACATCCAGACGAGGGAGGAAGTGAAGAAAAATGAAAGTGCATCCAATGGCAGTCAATGTAAAGCTGCAAGTTTGGAGCTTTACACAGGCCTGAAGTACGTTCAGGGAGTGGATTGCAATATAGTAATATTATAGAATTTGCAGTAAAGGACGTGTTTTGTACCTGACTTTATGATTATATCCATATTAACATTCTTTTTAACTTCATTGCCAGCCAATTTCTTGTTCTGCCACTTTCTATCTTCATGGTGATCTTTTCCATTTACTACCTGTAACTTATCGCGAAGGTCTCCAGCTACAGAATCACCTTCAGCTTCTCTCGGCTTCAAATGTTTAGCCTCTATCACATTGGCATTATTCATTGTGGTGTCTTTAAAGCCTGCAACAAGTTCCAATGTAGATTGCTAGAAAGATTATAATCTGGTTCGTGCAAGATAGCGTGACTTTTGCAGAAAGTTCCATAACTGAGTTTTCATTTTACAGTCTACAAAAGAACACGTGCTTGTTTGGATTTACTTATAAGTTGCTGAAATTATAATGTGATAGAAATAAGTAGTTGATAAATTGGTAGGACTTATAAGTCCCATGAAATGTGTGGTTAAAAATAAAGTTTGATTTTGACCTTTAAATTATAATGTACATACAAGTAAATCCAAACAAGCACCATATATATTGGTTAAAGCAACACTTCTAATCAATGAACAACAATTTTGCATCTATACCAGTCTCTTTTAATAACAATGGAAGTGTGGCTTGTATACCCACATGGAAGGAGGTTTAATATCATATATTGTAAGATGGGTTAAATCTATCAATGGTCATCCTACTTTATACTTAGTATCACGATGACCACCCAATTTTATTTTGTTTCATCATGACCATCTAACTTTATACTTAGTGTTGCCACTACTACCCAATTTGATTTTATTTCATCATGACCATCCAATTTCAAATAATGTTTCGCTATGATCACCCAATTTCATATAACATTTCATCATAGCTATCCAACTTCTTCTCATTATTTTCATTAATTATAAAAGAGGTAAAACGATAATTTTGCATTATATATAAAATAAATTTACAAAAATAAAATAAAAACTTATTTTAAAAAATAAAATAAAATAAAGACTTATTTAAAAAAATTACTTCAAAAATAAATAAAATAAAATAAAAACTTATTTTTAAAAAATGTTACTTAAAAATATGAAATAAAATAAAAACTTATATTAAAAAAATTAAATTAAAGCAGAAACTCATCTAAAAAAAAGGTTTTTAAAATATAATAAAACTTATTTTTTTTTAAAAAAAAAGTTACTTAGAATAATGAAATAAAATAAAAGTTATTTTTTTTAAAAAGTTCCTTAATAAAATAAATACTTATTTTAAAAAATGTTTTTAAAATAATTAAAACTTACTAAAAAACCATTTTTAAAATAAATAAAAACTTATTTTTAAAAAATGTTACTTAGAAAAATAAAATAAAAACTTATTTAAAAAAAAAATTTTAATTTATTTATTTATATATATATATATATTTTAATAAGTAATCAAGTAATTTTATTAATAGATAATACATGGAGGGTATATTATCAATTTAAACAGGAATTAAACGACATAAAGTTTGATAACCTTTCTATATAATTTGTGGCTGCATCCTTAAACCAAGTATACAAAGTCATATAAAACCATTCTCTAATTTGTTCTGCTGTTCTTGCTTAGTTTTCGAAACAACGGTTGTTCCTTTCTCTCCATACACACCATACAATGCATCCCGGAATAAGGTTCCACGCAAGCCTACTATCCTTATCTCGAAATTTTCTCCTCCATGCCTACAACACATCCTCCATACGTTTAGGCATCACCCAATCCATATGTTGGGAAGCTAGAATAGTGTTCCACAACCACCGAACGCCTTCACAATGGAGGAACAAATGGTCATTCGTTTCTCCGTTTCTCTCGCACATATAACACCATTTGATAAGGTAAAAACCTTTTCTACGAAGATTATCCACCGTTAATGTCTGTCCCCTCACAACCGTCCATAACAAGAAAGCTACCCGTGGGGGCAATTTACATTGCCACACCATCTTCCAAGGAAATGAACTCTCTGTCGATCCCAATATGGATCTAAAATAAGTGTAAACTGAGAAAATACCATCCCGTGCCAGCTTCCATCTGCTCCTATCATCCTCTCCCACTTGAATATGCACCTCGTGCAAGGAGGTCAAAAACAGTGCAGAATCATCTAGTTCCCAATCCTTCAAACCCCTCTCGAAGGCAATATTCCAGTTATAATTTCCATTATGTATAGCTAGGACATCAATCACCATCGCGGTAGGCTCCAAGGCGATGCGATGCAAAGAAGGAAACCGTGCCTTTAGCGGATGATCTCCACACCAACAATCATCCCAAAATCTGATACTATTGCCATTCCGCGTCACATAAGTCAATTCCTCTCGAAAGTCATTCCATCCTCGTCAGATATACTTCCACAAACTCACCCCATAAGATTCACGACCCTCGATCGAGCACCAACCCCCCTCCATCACACCAAACTTCGCTCCTATGATTTGTCTCCAAAGACTCTCACTCTCTACTCCAAATCGCCACAACCACTTGCCCAATAAAGCCTTATTAAATAGAACAAGACTCCTCACTCCAAGACCCCCATCCTAACAAGAGAACAAACCACACCCCAATTAACCAAATGAAATTTCCTCTCTTCCCCTAGCCCTACCCAAAGAAACTCCCTTTGAATCCTCTCTAATATGTTTGCCACTGTACTAGGGATAGGAAACAGTGACAAGAAATAAGTCGGGAGATTGGACAGAGTAGATTTAATGAGAGTAAGGCGATCTCCCTTCGAAAGGTACATGCACTTCCACCCCGCTAACCTCTTCTCCACCCTTTCAACAACTCCATTCCAGATATGTTTACTTTTGAACATTGCCCCTAAAGGAAGCCCAAGATATGACATAGGCAACTGCACAGCCCTACAACCCAATATATCGGCCAACTCATCCATGTTAGCAACCTCTCCCACTGGAATGATCTCGAATTTCCTTAAATTAATCTTCAATCCCGACACCGCTTCAAAATATAGAAGTAACCGACGCAAGTTCCTGAACTGCTCATTATCTACATCGCAGAGGATCAGTGTATCATCTGCAAATAGCAAATGAGAAACTTGTAAGTGTCCAACCATAAAGCCTTTTAGCAATCCTTCTTCCATAGCTCTCTCAAACATCTTACTAATTGCCTCCATAACAATCACAAACAGCAACGGAGACAAGGGATCCCCTTGCCTCAAACCTCTACTACTTCGAAAATGACCCTCTGGGTTGCCATTGACCAAAACGGAGAATGAAACTGTGGAGATACAAAATTGAATTTACTTGCACCACTTTTCCCCAAAGCCACATCGCTCGAGCATGTACAGAAGGAACCCTCAGTTCACGTGATCATAAGCCTTCTGAATATCAAGTTTACATAACATTCCTGACACCCCCAGATGCAATCGAGAGTTGACACATTCATTCGCTATAAACATAGAATCCAAAATCTGTCTTCCTTTCACAAAAGCATTCTAACTCTTAGTCACCACTTTTCCCAGCACCTCCTTCAATCTATTCGCCAGGATCTTCGCGATAATCTTGTACAACCCACTAACTAAGCTAATAGGGCGAAAATCCTTAATGTCAATTGCTCCCGGTTTCTTTGGAATCAGCACAATAAATGTGGCATTAGAACTTCTCAGGATCCTTCCGTACTCAAAAAAATAAGTGATAACATCTATAATATCCGGTCCCACCACCTCCCAACAAGCCTTATAAAATGCGAACAAGAAGCCATCCGGTCCTAGTGCCTTATCTTCATTCATACTGAAAATCACATCCTTGATTTTATCTTCTGCAAATGGTCTATCTAACCAGCTGGCATCCTCCTCCGTGATAGATGAAAAGTACAGTCCATCAACCTTTGGTCTCCAGTCAAACTCTTCCCGATAGAGATTTTGATAGAATCTCACCATCTGATTCCCAATATCCTGCACATCCTCATAAGTAATCCCATCAACCTCCAATAGGGTGATAGAGTTGCGCTTGTTAGAATTAGCGACTTTATGGAAGAATTTGGTGCATTTGTCCCCCCCTTTCAACCATGTAACTCTAGATTTCTGGCGCCTGGCAATCTCCTCCATCTCCATCAGTCTCTCCAGCTCTCCCCTTAGTACTCCACGTCTCTCCCTATCCTCCCCATCCAATCCTAGACCCTCCTCGCGCCTATCCAGTTCTCCCATCAACCTCCAATAGGGTGATAGAGTTGCGCTTGTTAGAATTAGCGACTTTATGGAAGAATTTGGTGCATTTGTCCCCCCCCTTTCAACCATGTAACTCTAGATTTCTGGCGCCTGGCAATCTCCTCCATCTCCACCAGTCTCTCCAGCTCTCCCCTTAGTACTCCACGTCTCTCCCTATCCTCCCCATCCAATCCTAGACCCTCCTCGCGCCTATCCAGTTCTTCAATTTCTAGGACACATTGATTTTTACGCCAATTAACATCACCCACCACCTCCTCATTCCACCTTTTGAGATCCCTCTTCAATGCTTTTAATTTTTGATCCAACACATAACTGGGAGACCCAACGAATTCATAAAATGTACACCAATTCCTAACTCGATCCCTAAAGCCATCTACTTTAAGCCACATCTTCTCAAATCTAAAAGGCCTTCTTCCACTACACCTCATATCCCCCGATAACAAAATAGGAAAATGATCAGAATACATCCTCCCCAATCTCCTCTGAGTGACCTCTGGATATTTGTCCTCCCACTCCCCACTAATCTAGAAGCGATTTATTCGAGATAACACAGGTTGATCCCGATTAGATGACCATGTGAAGTCTCCTCCAATCAAAGGCATGTCAATCAACATATTTTCTCTTATAAAATCTGAGAAATCCTCCATTGCCCTTGTTAATCTCCCGCCGCTAGACCTCTCTGTAGGAAACCGAACCACATTAAAATCACCTCCAATGTACGTTGGAATGCTCCACCAAGCCATCATCCCGGCCAACTCATCCCACAATCCACTTCTACTCTCATCAACATTAGAACCGTAAACTCCTGTAAACATCCAACGAAATCCATGTTAGAATTGAATGAAAAATATTGAATAGAAGTAATGAACAATATTGAATAGAAGCTTGAGACACGAAAGTTGGGAGCTAAGCCAAGTAGTGTTCCAATGCTTCCTAATTTGCAACTTACCACGGATGGTGACTTATTTGAAGATCCTAAAAAGTATAGAAAACTGGTTAGGAAATTGAACTATCTTATAGTAACTCGTCTTGATCTTGTGTATCCTGTTAGTATTGTAAGT